TCTTAATGGTTGTTGTGTTGCCTAAGTGCAGGTTGCTATTGGCACTGACGATGTGTACAAGAGTGCTGAAGCAGTTGAGTTGGTTACCAAAGAACTAGGTGGAAAGGTTCTACGGCAGCCTGGGCCACTACCGGGGCTGAACACGAAGATCACCTCTTTCCTTGATCCCGATGGCTGGAAAGTGTCTTCTGGCTGTCTTGTGCATCACACTGCTTTATTTGAATTGAGGCGGGTGAATTAATTTACAAGATGTGCTTGCTGTAGTCAATGCTTGATTTAAAATTTGAAGAGCTTATTGTAGTCAATGTACTTTGGCAGTTAAATGAATTAATTCGAAACGAAATGAAGAATAATTCAATTGGCTTGCACAAAGTGACCGATAATTGCTAGTTTGTCTGTAGAAACGAATTATTTCCAGTTAGTACATAGTTTCAGAGTCTACTCTTGGATTGGCACCTTCAAGGACAAGCTGTTGCTTGTAAATGCAAAAATACTCCCTCCATTCCTAAATATTTGTCTTTTTAGAGATTTCAAATGGACTATCACATACGCATGTATTTAGACATATTTTAGAGTGTAGGTTCATTCATTTTGCCCCGTATGTAGTCATTTGTTGAAATCTCTAGAAAGACAAATATTTAGAAACGGAGGGAGTAGAAAATTGGAAAACAACAACATTGTAAGAAAGTAGGCATCCTAGGTGTAGCGAGCAAATTAACAAGAATTTTTGCGTGCGGCATGTTTGTCATACTGAAAATGATTTCTTAAGAGGTTGTTCTTCGGTATCCTTGGCAACCAGCAGGCCTCAGTTGTGGAAAATATGAGATGGATGAGTATTGTTGTTGTATTGATCTGACCCTTGTGTAGGGTATATATAGGAGTACAAGAAGGGGTAGAGACTTGGAGTACAAGATAAGTTACGTGTGGTTTAAACTAATTCTATCTCTATCTCTTCATCTCTAACTTAAACCCAATTATATTTGTAACATTCCCCCCTCAGTCGCAGCGGGAGTGAAGCGGACGAGTACGACTGAATTTGAAGTCTTGCGCTTTCGTCGTCTTCTCCGTTGCGCCATCATCAACTGCGTCTCTGATGGGTTGGCACCTAGGACGGTGACTGCGTCCCCTTCTGGTGCCTTCATGCCTTCTCCTCTATTCCCTCCCGCAGTCACAGCGGGAGTGGCGTGGACGCTAGTGACGACGCGGACGCTGTTGACTGGAGTTGTTGCCGATGAGTTGCTGTAGATCGATGTCGAGGTAGCCGGTCAGGGTGATGTAGCCGTGGTCGATGGTATGGTCGTCGTGGATGATGAAACCGCACAAAGCCGGAGGCGCAAAAAAATGCGCTATGACAGGGCTGCAGACGTGGACGATGCACCTTGCGGATGTCAGAGGGTGCCGTCGGCGATGAGTCCGCCGGTTTTGCCAAGACCGGGGGAAGCCCATCGAGCACACATCGGTTTTGCCAGAACCATGTGGCCGTGTGG